TTTAATATTATCCACATGTAGCAAATGTTACAAACTCCTTAATTTCTTGTGGTTTCTGAACATGTGATTCTGCAATAGAGTATCTTAGATAAAATCTTTGAAATAATAGAATGTCCTAAGACAGAAAGAAATACAGATCTACAGTTAACAGAGCAGTCAACTTGGTCTCTGGCCTCCAGAGACAAACACATTTTCTAGAGACAAATGTATCCTGCTGTGGCCTGGTCATGAACACCTGGGAAAACAGTTCTTGCTGAGTTACTGACATTCAGAAGCCTGCAGCTCTTCTAGCTCTGTCTAGCCCATGGTGATTTGTATGTGCCCAGGGCACAGCCCACAGCCCTCAGGACTTCATACCAGCCTGTTCACATTCTATGCAGCAGTCAATCTCAGTCAGCACACAGCATGGACATGAGGGCCCCTGCTCAGCTCTTCAGGCTCCTGATGCTCTGGATCCCAAGTAAGGAAGAACAATGCTGAGCTTTAACACAGCCCAGTGTGATCCAGCATTCTTTACTCTTCAGGAAGCCCTCTGATAACTTGATTAGTAGTGTGGATGTTTGTTTTCATGTTTCCACACAGGAGCCAGGTGTGAAATCCAGATGGCCCAGTCTCTGTCTTCACTGTCTCTGTCTCTAGGAGACAATGCCACCTTCACTTGCAGGGCCAGTGAGAACATTGATTACAGTTTAGCCTGGTACCAGCAGAAACCAGGGAAAGCTCCAAAACTCCTGATCTATGCTGCAGATACTTTGTTATCTGGAGTTCCATCATGGTTCAGTGGTGATGGATATGGGACAGAGTTTACTCTCACCATCAGCAGCCTGCAGCCTGAAGATGTTGCCTCTCATTACTGTCAAAAGGTTACATTGCTCCTCCCACAGTGATACAAGCCATAACATAGAACTCCCAGGGAAGCAGAAGTGAGAGGCTGGGCTGCCCGCACAGCTGCTTCTCTTGGTGCTTTCCCCTGCTGAGTGTGCTTCTCACAGGAATCCAGTCTTATAAAGTTACTGCAAGGTTTTGGTAGAAGAAAAAAGATTTTTCAACATCATATTTTTCTTTCTTTTGATTATCCAACAGGACACAAATTATGTTTGCTGTCTTGATTTAAAAAATGGTATGGGTTAGTAGTCTTAAGGATTGCAAGTTATGGTATCAATGTGGATTTAAACATCAAAATAAAAGTACATAGATTAAAAAAAAACATTTAAACTAGTGATAGGATCATTATTTTATCCTGTATGTGTGTGGGGGGGGTCTATGTCAGGATTGTGACATGGGTTTGTGACTGATTTCACCTGTGGTTCACAAACATGTTGATTTAAGATATAGATTATTATACTATCAACTAGAGAGCTTAACTATCAGTCTGAAAGACCTGAATTAAGACATCCAGTGACTTCTGCACAAGTAAAAACAAGTTGTGAAGGTATGCTCTGTAGCCTCACTGCTGCTCATGTGTAATTTGTCAGTGATGGAGTTTTTATCCTCCAGGATGAGCATTTATGGATTCCATCTATTAGAAAGGAAATTTTCAAAATCAGCATTAACTTGTACTTCTGTGAAACGTCAACCAAACACCGGGAGTAAGATTGATAATTTTTAGAGGTTCCCTTTGCCTTGGAAAATCCCCACTCTTCTTGTTTTGTTTTGTTCTTTAAATTTATTTTTATTGTCAATGTGATCTACATAGGGCTTACAGTTACATATGTAAGGTAGTGTGTACATTTCTTGTTAAACATTGTTACCCTCTCCCTCATTTTTCTCCCATTCTCCCTACCCAAATTGTATATTCTGTTGTATGAAACAAAAACAATAGCCCAGCAATAATAATTTGGTAGTAAATAAGTAACTGATGAAAAATCATCAATCTGTCTCACAGTGTTTGTGCAGAACCGTGCACTCCCCTCTCATTATTGGAGAATCCATGGGGATGATGGACGGACCTAGACTCCATAACACCTGCCCGCTATCCATGGAGAACTGGCTTC